AAGAATGTAGATGTTCAAGTTTCTGAGCACTGTATGGACATCTCAAATCTCAAATTTTAACATCAGCAATCCCATGACAACTGGAGCAAACTCTGTCTGCTGAGGAAGATAGTGGCACAAGCTCAAAAGCTTCAGAACCAATACATTTGATCGTGTTGGATTTTTATAAGTAGTTTTGATCAAGCCATTAGAATTTCAGCACATTCAGTTTTGGGTCCTGTCCTGTACCCCGTGCAGGTCCCAGCCACATGTCTCTGTACCTGATGCCTCACCGGGGGGCCAGCCTCTCCACGTGGTCATTCGGTGACGGGAAGCCTCAGTTCGACCTGAGCGGCGAATATTTCATCTTCTATTCCCACGGCCTTGACCCCCCCACATGGACCTTCTGGTTTGAAATACAGGTACTGTCTGCGGCTAAAAGGGCAGTCTGTACTTTTGTACTTATTAACATTTCATATCTCTGCTCTGTTGTGTGTGTGTGTGTGTGTGTGTGGGTTTGAATTTGTATTATTCAAACTGATTCATGTTTCTGGTTAGGGGGCAAAGTCTTTGTCATTGTCACCATTCAGTAGAGAAACTGAACTTTTTACAAGAAATATTTATTGACAAAGCTCAATTTAAAATGTATATTTGTTATAACCTGTATATTTAAAGGGATAGTTATTTATTTTATGAAATGTATATGTAAATTAGTGAGCTTTAGGTGCTGCTAGGTGAATTTCTTCACTTTTGGATGGAGCCATGCTAGCTGTTTACCCCTGCTTCCAGTCTTTATGCTAAGCTAAGCAAACAGTCTCTTAGCTCCAACTTCATATCCAACAGTGGTTTCAATATTCTAAGTCTGGTTTCTATCTAAGTCTCTGCAAGCAACCGAATAAGCCTATTTCTCAACATGTCAGACTTCTGTTTTAAGAATGTTGTCCTTGCCCAAAATATGATATAAATCATCAAATACTTAGACAGATGCAACAGATTTTTTTGGTACATCATTCTTTTCATTCCTCACATTTCTAGATTTCTGCCTCACCTCAGGTTCTCTGTCAGTGATGTCTGCAGGAGATAAGCTCCTGCAGTTGGACTGTCATGTGAAAACCTTTAAACTCCAATTTTAATGATTTGAATTGCATTAACAATTGCATTGGTTGACACAAACTCCATGGACTCTTTTTAAACCCATTGCCTAAGCTGAAGCACATGCAGCATAATCAAGACGAGGGGGATTTCCTGAGGGCCTATTAAAAGCTGCTGGTTTACTTTTCTCCTCATTGTATTCTTTGTTTCTCTCCCTCCGCCAGCCTCCAAGGGACCCGGACCCCTCGGGCCCTGAGGGGATGATCTCCGTTGCCATCTCCTCCCACTATTTCTTTGGGCCGGACCAGAGGACTGTTCAGCTAGAGGAAATCCTCCGCAGGTTTCCCACGTGGGCTTTTCCGTCGTCTTGGGTCAGCACCTACGACATGTACCGATACTGAGGACGCCGCACATCGCTGAGGCTGATGCCGAGAAAGAGTCGAGGGCTGCAGGGGCCCACAAGATAGACAGACAGAAGATTACAAGAAACAATTCTGAGGACCATCCCTGCCGCCTTTTCACTCTGACACTAACACACACTCACGCTCCTTCCCAGCCTGCCTCAGAGACCCCCATCACTGTGTCAGTGGGCTTAGTACCTAACGGAGCCGGAAGAGACACGCCAGAGGTAAGCTGACTGGACGGCGTACGGACTGACTAACTCACCGTCCAACGCACCGGCCACCACAAGCCTCGTGCTCACTCCTGGGTTAATGAAACGAAGGGGTTAAGATTTTTTTTTTGTACTCAATCTGTCGTGCCTTTGCTTTTACTCCCTCCATCTCACTCCCCTCCTCACTTTCCCTCTTGCTGACTTCCTCTTGTTTTTTGTCTCTCATGCGAACACTCTTCCTGAATAGAAAAATGTTGCATGGCTACCCCCCCCTCTCTTTATCGGCAAACCACTCGAGTAGATATGTCTCTGGCTTCCTCTGCAAAACTGACACAACCACTGTCTGTACTGAACGTGTAGTAACATACTGATGCACCTGTTTGGGAAGAGACCTGTTTTAGTTTGACCCCCTCTTCAGACTTTAACTGGAAACTTTGACACTTTGAAAGTCGCTTTTCATCAACACGCACTTGTTTTTATTACAAGCAAATACTTTTTGTATTAGCTAATCAATTAACAGTGAACTAGCTCATTATCATTCCTCAATAACACCACTGATTTGCAGCAAGTCGTACCACTGCGTTTCAATGAGGAATTCCAACGATCTGCTTTATTTGTCAGAGAATTTGGCATGCAGATGCAGAAAACGGTGCCTGTTAAATGAAAACAGCTGGCTAGAATCAAAATGCCAAGGTGTCCTTTAAAAGGAGCAGCGTTCCTGTTGATTTTTGCACCAAGAGTAATGTTGAGGTCTTCTCTGAGGTCTTTATAAGTTTTCGCTCTGATGTGCTCAAGCAAATGTGTAATTTTGGCCTTGATGAGACCACAACTCAGAGGGAAACCAGGACTCTACATGTCCTGTAATTTATTCCCTGAGCCTTGAGGGGGACTGGGTGGAAAACCAGCAATGCAACTCCACGCTCATTAACAGCATCAGTGTCCGTCAGCTTGTCTCATGTGAAAGTGTTGATTATTTACATGTTACTGTGATTGTATTTGTTTTTCTAACTTGACTTCTGCTCTGTGCTACGAGCTGTCTCTGGCAGCGCCAATGAATATCTTTTTATAATGAAAGAAGGTAGAGACGCAACATTTAATTGATTAATCAATTAGATTCAATTAGTTTAATCAAAAGACTGCAGCCAGTATGATAATCGATTAAATATTGCAGTTATTTACAAGCAAAAATGCCAGAAATCTTCTGATTCCAGTTCCTTAAATGGTCGGATTTTCTGCTTTTCTTTGTTGTGTATGATAGCAAAGGAAATATCTACACAGATGTCAGCTTTTGAATTCTGGGAAGCTCGGATGAGCCTTATTGACATTTCATAGTCCAGAGGATTAATCAAACTGTGCATGTTGGCTGTAGATGGAGTTGATCAGTTCTTGATGCATTTTTCAGTCAATTGAGCCACTAAACTCACATCAGAATAAAATTGTGTCTCTTCATTTCAATCCCCTTTAAAAAAAACCACATGAGCAAATCAATGTAGCAATATAGACGTTATACTTTGCAAGTAAAAATAAGTTAATGCTTTACTTTACGGGTCTGCAATTTCTGAATAATTTCCCGGAAAGAACTGTGCAGTTTGGTACTAATCATATGGAACAGAGAGAGACTGTGTTCAGTTGGTATACTTCCATAAAGTTGCCAGCTGATCATGCAAAAACGTTAAATTAGTCTACATGCAAGCATACCGTTCAGCACATATGGAGAATACGGCTTCCAGTGATAAATTAATGAATATTTTTGTTCTTAAAAATTAGGTCATATTTTCCCTGCAGTTAGAACCAAATTGCATATTTCTTTCCAGGAAACCTACTAGGAAGTCATTCAGAGCTAACACACCTGTAAAAATAAAGTGTCACCAAAAGCAGATAGATAGTTTTAGGTGAAATTAAATTCTGTTACCCAGTCAAGAAAGAAATGTAACAAGCTATGGCTTCTCAGCTAATTATCAACGCACTGAGGAGTTGTACTACGTTAAGCACTTAATCTGGATAATAATGCATTGGTGCTGCTTCAGACTGTTGTCCACTTATTTTCGGGGTCTGTGTGTTGCTTCTATTTCACTCATGTTGGACCTGCGTCTTTCTGTGTTCGGAGCCCAAGTATCACAACCACAATCCAGTTATTATATGACCTGTTTTCATTCACTCACATTGGTAGTGTTGCAGCTGGTTGTCCGTTAGAGCTAGAGAGAAAAAGTTCAATCCCTTTCTCACCTTTTACTGGTGTGAGGAGGGTGTGAATATTGGATTGGTGGTTTTGGAAAGTTATACAAAAAATAGAAAAAGGTCTTTTGAAGCTACTTGAACACTTCTGAGTATAATTGGCCCCTCAGTATCACCACTACCTCCGCAGGGATCATAATGTAGTCTCTGACACCGAGATAACAGTTACTAATGTTCTCGTTAAGACTAGTTTGAATGTTTTCTATCGGTTTTTCTGCTAACAAAGTGGAAATATAGAGATCTATCTGAAGAAACGTCTTTCCTGTTTTAGCGTGTTGATTAAAAAAAATCAGAATGACCGTCCCATCCCTGTTGGGACCAACAAGTGTCACACCGTTGCTTGCTGTTTGACTCCTCCGATATGTAATCACCGGTGGAATCAGGGTTGTAAAGACTTGGGAGATCGTCTGTTCGCACTCTGAGCAACTGAGCAAAACTGTCTTTTGTCCACTTACACCCGGTGACGCGTTGCTGTGATTCATGTTGTCTCGTTTGGCTTCAGTGACACAAAACTAAGAAATGCTGACACAAAGGAGGCCTTAACATGTTGCTTCCAAAGACACACAAAATGATTACTGTTGTGGACACAGACGTCTCAGTGGTCTTAAAGCTATCAGGTGCTGCACTGTACAGAGTTTATATGCTCCTCAACTGTTGTCTGTTGGACAGTTTGAACTTGAAAATCCTTCACAGCCTTTAACAGCACTTGGCAAGTTGGAAAACACATTGTCCTGCTGTGATCCTTTCATTTATGCACAATCTCTCCCCTCAGTAGCTATTCCGGATCTTTCAGTTTTAGCCATGGAAACGTAGATGTTTTCTGACTTCTTGTTCATGTCGGCTTAGAGATTGAGGTTAAAAGTCATTAATAAACATCCAATTTCTATCTTTAAAGCGGGGGTTGGCAGCTTTTTATTGGCATCATTGGGAAAAAATTCTATAATAACCTGTCAGTAGATTTTAATTGAAGTGGTTTGAGAGAAAACTAGACTTCTGCACCTCCTCTCGGCTCTGTTTTCAGGCTTTAGTAAATCTAGCCTGTGATGGGAGATTTCAGCCAATCACAGGTCCTTTCAGAGAGAGGGAGACTCCTGCTGCTGCCATTTGATTTTGTGGGTTTGGCCCACACTGTAGCTTTAAGCCAACATGCACAAGAAGTCTTTAAAGTACTCCATCTGCTGAGGAAGATGGTGTGATACAGTTGAAAGCTTCAGAGCAGAGCTACTGAGTGGCTCCTGTGGTGAAAGTGTTTTAGT